GAAACAACTGTGGTTCTGCGCAGAATGGATACATTGGACGCCCAAGATAATATGGGCCACAGGTGAGGACACCGAGAGACAACACATCAGTATCAAAATACACGTACTTCCACTTTACAACATGAGCACAGCGATCACATGCACAGTCCAAGCTTCCTGTTTAATTTTATTCTATTGCAATAAAGTACTCTATTATCTTTACAGAGTGTTGTGCCTTCACATAAGGAAATTCTATAAATAGGTTTGGTCACACGACCCTTGGGATTAGTGTGGGGGATCCAGATGTCCACACTCCAGTCAGGAGGAAATGTTGATTAAGACAGGGCTGGGTTGTGTGTGCGAGGGAGGGAAATCAGCATGGAACTGCCAAACGTCCATTTCACAAGGACCCAAATAGACCCAAATTTCCATCTTTGTTTGTATAGATATAATTCCCTTTTTTCTCCTTTTCAGGTAATCTGTTCTATCGTCTTTTGATAATTTATAACTTCAAACACCTTTAAGACAAACATGGGTAGAATCTTCAAATTTTAATTTTAAAATGAATTTTAAAATATACTATAACTTACATGTTTCTGTCACTTCACGTCCATTTTCTGTTTTTCTATTTCTGAATGTTTTCTGCCAATTGTGAATAATGAGGCTTGTAAAATGTGTAATATGTAAGAGATGCATAAGTATTCTTTTTAATAAGTAAAATATAAATATTCAGTCTTTCCAGGTATACTTGATAGGGGTTACTATTAGTTTATATGAACATTTTAAAGAGTAAAACTGGATTTCCAAATTTCCAATACCTCATTTTTATCCTAACTACATTTTAATGTGAAATATGCGAGTTAATATCTCCTTCTCTATTTATTTCCTGTGAAAATTCTGAAGTTTGTGATGGCTGGATTTTGGCAAGACTAGATCCCAACCACACACGCTGCAGATGTTTCTCAAATATTATTTCCAAAGGGTTAGAGTGAGGCACATTCATGCCATGAAACCCACTCAGCAATAACAAGAAGTCCGAACTGTAATACAAAAAGCAATTCATTACAGATTCTGGATATTAGCCCTTTATCAGATGTGTAGTTTGTGAATGTTTTCTCCCATTCTGTAGGCTAGTCATTCTGCTGCTTATCTCCTTAGCTGTGCAGAAGCTTTTTAATTTAATCAAATCCCATTTATTTATTTTTCTTGTTGGTGTTAATTGCCACTGGGGTCCTAGTCATAAATTGTATGCCTAGGCTGATATTAGAAGACTTTTCCCTATATTTTATTCTAGAATTCTTATGGTTTCATGCCTTACATTTAAGTCTTTTATCCATCTCGAATTCATTTTTGTGAATGGTAAGAGATAGGGGTTCTTTTTCACTCTTCTGCATAAAAGTCCAAAAACTAGATGCTGGCATAGATGCAGAGAGAAAGGAATGCTTATATATTGTTGGTGGAACTGTAACTTAGTACAACCTCTATAGAAAACAGTATGGAGATACCGCGAAAAAGTAAAAGTAGACCAGCAATTCCAGTACTGGGTATTTAACCAAAGGAACAGAAGTCACTTTATCAAAAAGACCCCGGAACTCAAATGTTTATTGCAGCACAATTCACAATTGCAAAGATGTGGAATCAACCCAAGTGCCCATCAATTCATGAATGGATTAACAAAATATGGTATGTGTATACCATGGAGTAATACTCAGCCATAAAAAAGATTGAAATAATACCTTATGCAACAATTTGGATGATCTGGAGACCATTATCCTAAGCGAAGTATCTCAAGAATGGAAAAACAAACTCATGCTCTCTATTAAATTGGAACTAACTGATGGGTACACATGGGCACAGAGGAAAGTAAAACTCATTGGAAATGGATTGGGGGGAGGCAGGTAGAGGCAGGTAAGAACCTACCTAACAGGTACAATGAACACCATTCAGGTGAAAGGCACACTTATAGCTGTGACTCAAGCATTACAAAGGCGATCCACATAACAAAAACATTTGTACTCCCTTAATATTGTGAAAAAAAAAAGACATTTAAAAAAGCAATTCAGATGAAGCTCCAGGAAATTATACTTAGTGAAAAAGGCCACTTATAAAGCTTTGCATACATTATATTTCCACTTATATAACATTACTGGAAGGACAAATTTATGGAAATGGAGAAAAAATTTCTGGTTGGAAGGGAGTAAGTCCAAAGTCAACGTGGCAGGCAGAAGGAATGTGCATGTGGTTTTAAAAGGACAATGGGAGGTAATCTTCAGATAGATGAAGCTATACATGTAATAACATTGCATAGAATTAAACACACAAAGAATAAATCTGGTGAAATGTGAATATTAATAAATTTGTGGATCAATGATATCATTGCCAATATACTGGCTACAACACTTTCACCGTTTTATGATGTCTTACTATAGTTTTCTCATCATAGGTTATTTTAAAAAAACATCATAATAATCACAGTCCCTCAGCAGTACTTTCTGCAAACACAGGCTCGACACAGCACTTTCTGTGGCTTGTCCCATGTAGCCCCTGAAATAATCCTGTGAGGCTGGCACACTTAACACTCCAGCATCCACATCAGCAAACTCAGACCCAGAGAGGTGAAGGGGCATTCCCAAGACACAGCCAGCAGGTGGCTGCGACCCCACTATGCTCTGAGGGGCAAAGCACTCACCTGCTGGGTAGGGATGAACTCGTGGGACGTGTGCAGGAAGGTGGGGACGTGGAAGGGGTCGCCGCTCTGTTCCTCCAGCCTGCCTTCCCCGACGGTGCCTCCTGCACGTCCCGACTCATCATCACACTGGCCGAAGGATGGTTAGGACACTATGAACCCTAGTTCAATGTGAAAACACTCAGAATGTAAGCCATATCTAAGTATTCCTACAAATGTACGATAACTTATTTTCCGTCTGGGCAAGGCTGGGGCGGAACGGCAGGAGTGGAGGAAGGGGTAGCTCAGATTCCTGTGACTGGGCCTAGTGGTCACTCCCGGCAAGATGAGGCGAGATCCTGGGGGCCTGCAGGGAGGTCTCTGGGCAGGTGGCCTTCCTGTCCCTTTGCAGGCCCTGGCTGCGGAGACCTGTCTGCGCCGCACTCACCACCAATGAGGCAGCGCTGGCCCTGGTGGCCGTGTGGTGCACCTGCCCTTCACCTGGGGAGATGGAGTGGTTGACCCCATTGAACAGCTCCCTGCAGATGTCCCGCGTGGACTTCTGCAAAGACAGTGACCAGCCGCTGATCCTGGAGGCATCAGGGCCCCAGCTGTTCATTGTCCTTGCTGGTTCTGCTGCCCAGAGATCCTTCCGTGACCCAGATCGGGCCCAGACCTGTGTCTGCACAGACCTCCATCCAGGCATGAACGGGATGACAGCTTGAGAGCTCAGGACAAACGCAGGACCAGATGGCACCACCCACCATCCTCATCCCCACCTGCCAGCCGTGACCTGGCTGAAACCAGGACAGGCCCCCAGGCCTCCAACCCCCAACAACCTGCTCCTGCCCGGGGTGTGTCCACCCCTCATGTCTCCTACTCTCCCCCACACACACATGCAGAGAGGAGTGCGGGGCTACCCAGGCGGGACACGGTGGTGAACACATCTGGCTTGCCCTGCCCTGACACACACTGTATCACCCCAGGGTCCTTCGTGGCAAACGGTCAGAGGGGTCAGGGTGAGAGCTGGGCCGACAACTGCAACGGCACAGAAGGAACTCACTCTCTCAAGGGTCTCCAGCCGAGTGAGCTGGGCAGGACGCTGTCTCCAGAATGTGGGTGCCTCACTACCAGGGTCCTAAATTAATGAGGAAGTGGGATCACCTTCTCTGGGCTTGTGCCTCAGATGAGAATTCCCCAGGAGCCCCTCTGGGCTGCTCACTGCCCTCCTCTACCCCATGCCATGTACCCCCGCACACACGGACAACAACACAGCCCACCCCACAGGCCCTGAGGAAGGCCTGGGTGCAGCCAGAGCCCAGTTTTCAAAAGACTCTGAAGGGATTGTAGAAGGATGAAGTTCCATCTTCTGTGGCTTCTTCCTGCCGGACTTACAGGCGTAGGCCCTGCCCAGCATTGGAGAAGTAGAACTCTCTAAGAACAGTCCAGGGGGCGCAGGGGCAGGATGCTTCCATGTTTTGGATCAGCCGGTGAGATGGGCTGGAAGCCTTGCATCGGCACGAACTTGGACTGCAGTTACTGTAACCGGGAAGACACAAATACAAACGTGGTCCAAAGATTGAAAGAAGGAAGATAGCTAATAAGCGCCCTGAGAAGGGAAGTAACCAAATGATACTGGGCAAACGTCCCTTAATAGAATCCCAGCTGGTCTGGAAAGCGGGCGATTGATGATGTTATATTAATATGTAGCCATGTTCACCCTTTGTTCTACCTCCCCCATGACATTAATGTAGATGCAACACGATGAGTTTGCAGCAGCACTTATGGCTCCCTGTTCAGCCAAAATGCAACATGGTTATTTTCCTATATCCGAGATGGACAGAAAAGGTTTTTTCCAGGGAGAGGAGGGAGTGTAATGTAAACACGGTGAACAACTAAGGCAAAATGCAAGTTTGGTTCATGACTATGAAAGTGACTTCATTCCAGTCACCAGGAAGTAAGCCAAGGAATAACAAGTGGGTTATTAGGGAAATGCCAACAGTGATTAAGAAAAGAAGAACGAGCACACGTTTACTAGTCATTTGAATGAGGGTGTTACTTAGCTTTCTTGCTGTCTTCCGGAGTGTGTGGAAACTGTTTTCCACGAAACCCGTCACTGATGCCAAAAAGGTTGGGGACCGCTGCTCCACAGGCTCACAGGAGTATGCCAGCTCCTCTGCGCCAACCCGTGGGGGCTCACGAGGCACAGGTTTAATCCTAGCCAGATGTTTCCAACTGGTTGGTTCTGATGATGACGGGAAAAGGAAGCTTATAGGTAGCTTAACATCTAAATTACTAACGAGTCTTTATGTCGGATACAGGCGTGGTCCGAGGTGGCGGTGGCCAAACCTCGCAGTCACGTGCGGTGCAGCACACAGGCTAGAGGAGAAAAGACAGAGCCGTGCAGAGGAACAGAGACTGCAGCCTGCAGTACAAGGAACACAGCAGCGCACAAAGTACAGAACAGGCTTCACTCGGAGAACAAAAGTAACATTCTAATCCGACTTGAAGAAACACTCAGGGTTTGGGCAAAGGCAAGAATAAAGGTAACAGCAAGACAAGCAGCCCCAGTGCCGGCAAGAAGAGGCCTCAGACAAAAGAACAGGTTTTCCCAAGGGGCCTGTTTTCAGCCCTTTAGCTTGGGATCACCGACACAACACGGCTCTGGTGTCCCGGAGTCGCCACAATAAAGGACCTCTGTTTAACGAAAGAAAAGGATTTCAAAATAAACAGGGAAAATGACCCGTCTTGAAAGAATAGAAACATCTCCCCAGAGATGAGAAAAGAAAGGCAGAAGGAGACAGTGAAGAGAGAGACAGAATGAATGCGTCTGACACTTTGGAAGGCAAGAAAACCGAAAAGAAACCAAACTAGACAAAGGGAGACTTACCCCATCCTTCGGGGTCCAAATAGTGCCACTCAGTCTTAATTTGGGGTCTGGGTGGGCGGTCGCCCTTTGTCCCATCTGGGTCACCAGGTGACACAGGAAAGTGACTCCCAACACTGGCAGTCACTTGAGGTCCAGGTGGGTCCTTGGCTTCACGCAAGAAGGAATTTCCAGGAGGGAGCCGAAAGTATAAAGTGAAAGTGAGATTTATTCAGAATCTATAGAAAGTCTGCTCCAAGGCACAGCAGAGGCGAGTTCTCCCTGCAGAAGAGACAAGCCCCCTTTTTTACTGTCCACACAGCTCGGGTCTGAGCCCCGTTGTCTACATTCGAATCCTGGCTCCGCCACTCACCAGCCACAGGACCTCACCAAGCCTCCGTCACCTCCTCTGTAAATGGGGGTTATAAAAGTCTATGCCACACCGGTTCTTGCGAGGTTATCAGAATTTAC